CTAATAAACTATACAAAACTATATATCAAATTATCATCAATCTTCCAAATACATTATATAACCATACTTTCCATGTGGATTCAGAAGTATAAAATACATTTCTTTTAGAAATCTTTATTGTTGTAAATATGGTCATTCAAGAAAAGATCCTCATCCCTCTTTCCACCATCATCTCAGTGTCGAACTCGTTAAATAACGCCTAACGTACGCGTGTAAATGAAATCATGAAAACCATAATAATTTATGTTATCAACAGTCTAACTCGTCCATTTCCTTTAACTACTTGCACGCGCATGCTATCAATAACCACGTTTTCATCGGAAACTCTCTTCAAATACATTAACACGCATTTATACAAAACACACATATGACAATATCTCTAATCCCACAAATCATTATGGCATGGTGGTAGGCAAATATGAGAGTATTCTTAATTCAGCTTCTTATAGAAAAACCTAATGTATTTTACTTATTACATTACATTATTACCATTGTCATACAAATACGAGACAACTGAACAGAAAACGTACAGTACCCCATACATCAACAACACAATCAAATAATATCTATACCATCTAATAGAAACATAAATATAAGGATTTAAGATATCGGATGACGTTGATATATATATATATATACATACAGAAACACATTCTAAACACTTATCATAAAATAATAATTCTAATTTTAATCTTGCATCGACAAACTGATCTTACCCGTTGATAATGGCGGCTGTAAAGAGTTTTGCACACAACCCCAATATTATAACAGCGTATACGCAGTTATTTCCCCTGCCAATGAAAACCTAATAATAGTATTTCATGCAGTTCTTAATGCGTTCTTAATCACGATATGGCTGAAATATTGCCGATGTGACTTTAATTTTAACTCACTCACTCTTAATGCATTCTTTAAGTCACTAATGAAATACTGAAACTTAATTAACGTTAAAACCTTACTTCGCTGGAATGTAGAACGGACAATAATGAATATATTAGTGACGCCATATGTAATTGTAAACCAATAGTGAGTGCTTTCCCGCAATCTGATTGGTTAATTACCCTTGTCAAATTTTACAATGATACTATAATCAATTCTGTTACGTCGCCAAACCATAATTAGGTTAAATAAATAATATTACAATACATTAAATATCAATCAATATATTGACGGCTAATCTTATAAACAATAACTTGTTGATCAACACGGGTACTTTAGAACACAATCTACGTGTATATAAAGTACGTTGATATAAAAGTGATCTAACAATCAACATATTTCTCTTTCATGTCATCAGTCATTCGATTTTAAACATATGATTTCTTTTGTTACACTTATATACATATTTTCTCTCACATATCATATATTTGCCACATTAAATTTACGTTTATAATGTTCAATATTTACTTTAGCCACAAATAATAACACGATTTTCTGGGTAATTATAAAACTTTTACCATTCCAATCAGTGTAATCTTATGACCACCGGGAACATATTTTACAACAAAACTATAGTAACTCCTACCGTATCTCCTACTGACAAATTTCAATTCCATTAAAATTTTAATTGTGAAATATAATTTCAACATAAATTAAATTGGTATTATAATAATAAAAATAAAAATAGCAAAACGTCAATACATATTATATTTCATTACAAATTCTAACATGTAATCGTATTCATTCTTTCATGTAAAATTACGGTCTTATGCTACCAAATACTCGGAGGGAGGTGCAATAACACTCAACCTACTAAGGAATTCTGGGATACCATCCTCGGCCTCCTGTCAAACAATGCCATTGGGTGAAAAATATTATTCCACTGCGGAACATTAAAGGACTAATTTGATTGGTTCCACAAATAGAAAGTCCATGAAACCTAGGCACAGCAGTCAAGACGCACCCGTCCCGTCGCGAGAGAACCTTGGACTGCTCTTTCCATTTTCTGAAGTTTTGCTACATTTAGTTCCTGGAAATTGAAGCACTACTGTCTTTGATCACAATTGCCATGGCTTTTGCTTTAACACCAGGACGACAACCGTCACAGCATGCAAAGGTATGTATCTACCTTTTAGTGTGCGTGTTAAACAATTCCCTACGATGTCATAACGCCATTTGCCATCTACCCACTAGTGTTAAAACACATCCCATAATTAATGTTTGGATATAAAATGAAGTTTATTGAGCAATTTTATTTTACAATTACTGGTCATTGAGAAATTACATCTAAATAAACTTTGTACTTTTAACCTAGTCTTAGATGACTCAAATGCCACCATGAGTGATGGTCTCAAAACAAACAATTTGTGTCAAATTTGGAACTGTCAATGTTAAAAACGTCTTTGATACAAAACCCAAACGCCAGAAACCCACCAAACAGAGTAACATATATCACTTAAACACCAGCAAAATTGCATTAACAATATATTTCATGATACTATATAATAATTAAGTAACTCAGTAATAAAAGAAAATACAGTTGCATATTAAAAACTAAATATATTTTACAACTCTTTCTTTTTACATTCTTATATTTTAGTGAAATAACAACCAAAACAGTAAGGTAAAAAGACAGATTCAATATATATATTTGGGTGGAATATTATCCAAATGGCGAATTAACTTGAAATGAACGTTATGTGAACTTATTCATAACTGTTTCACTTTATAAAATGCTAAAACTAAACATTTCTTGCACATCAAAATTCAAAATTTGTAATACAAATATATTATGTTACATCATAACCTGCAAAACAAAGGCATAGAAACATCTAATTCATACATTTTAATAATAATTGCCAAACCAATTACAAAACCCTTATGTCATTAATTCTAAATATTCCATTAAAATCAATATAAAAAGAAATACCACAAATCCATTCTATACTGCCATAATTATAATTTATACATTAATGCACACAAAAACCAAGTCAATATTTTCTATATTCTTATTACATTTTTATAATTGATTAATTTACTCTCATAGCTTTATATATGTTGTAACAACATAAAAATACAAAATGCTCTTGAAGAATATACATATATGTGGAGTGATCAAATTAGATTCACACCATACATAAAAATATCCACACTATGTAACAACAGTCTATATATAAGCAGTTTGAACCAAACAATCCAGTAATTAAAAACATAACCATCGATTTCTAAAATACTCATAAATGATATGTATTGTCTAATCAATGTCTTTCACAACTTAATCCAGTTATTTATGTCTTATAACCAACTTCAAAATTGAAGAACAATTCTGACTCCAATGTACATACGTTGTTATCATCACTATGCTATTTAAACATTTGATACATTACATATGTGAATTAGTAAACACATACCATAGATATTGCCTAAATAAAATGTTTGTCTGTTAAATATCAAATTTCCTGCATTTGCAGACATATTTCAGATAATTACAAAATGTTACTAATATAGTATTGTTTATATTTAACAATATTAACCAAATTGAGTTGAGAAACATACCTCTTGGTTCATCATATATTACAAACAAAATATGAATGTCATCTACAATAAAATATTATGTTAATTTTTGTACAAAATATGTAAAACCATTGTATAATTTGTATACCAATATGTTTTCCAGTGTTCATTGTTCTTAAAATGTAACTACATGTACATGTAAATATAACACACAAATATAAGTATAATAACAAAGGTAATGTTAACTAACTTTTTACATTTAACAATGACTTCTGCAGATATATAAAGGTATCTGAAACACTTTAAATAGAAGTATGTCATGGCTATTTCAAATAATTTCACAAACAATGTTTGTATTTTGCATAAATGACTTACTATTGCATACATCAAGAGAAACCATACACAAACCAAATTCAAATTTACATAAGACACCTTTCATATAGGTACTCCAAATTCCTCTCTCAAAAACATCAATACATTCACAAAATGTACAAGAATAATTCACTGTCATAAAACCAAAATTTCTTTGAAAATAATAAATAAACATAAATCCATTATTGCTTAAAACAACATTCATATTGGGCTTTATTCCAAACTTTCAACATATTTCTCAAATGTAGCAACCACAATATATTAACCTTCACAAAACATTTCTTTATAAAGACTTAAAGGACAGCAATTACAAAATAACCATGATATTACATGTACCTACATTATTTTTCTTGCCTATATGTTTACAAACAACTACATTTAATTAAATCAATAGTAGTGTCAAAATTTCCAAACGCATCGTCTGCAAACATTCATGCATAAAAATTATCCACATTAATATTCATACTTACAACTTTACCAGTACTTGTTTAAAATCTACAAAAATAGTTTGGAAAAATAATGGATAACTATAGCCTAATATACAACATTGTCAGGTGCTTTATTTACACTCAAAACTGTTCATGAAACCACTGCAGTTTATAAAACAAACTGAAAACTTAAAATACATTGACATCAAAATGAATACCGGCACATACTCATGCGACATACTCGAATGAGTTTTATTTCAAAAGCATATATTCATTACATTGTCATTTTAAAACCGAGAAAGGTCATAACACCAATTTAACAGACAATTTGTGACAGTCTACTTATTACTATCACTTGTTTTTATGTAATGGTGCATTATATACCTGTTTGTGTACACAACCAAATATATTCTATTCGTAACACCAGACATAAATCCTGTTTCAAGTTCCACAAACCTATTTACTGTGCATGTGTTATAACTGAAACGCAACATAACTGTTGAAACCACTTTTCACCCCAACTCTAAGGTGAAATTAATGAATTGTTTAAGTCCAATTTCCTGTTATTTTTTTTTCATCATGTTATTTTCCAGTTTTAAAAATAAAACTTGTATCTTTGATGATTTGTTTCTGTAAAATCATACCGAAATGTATCAGAATCTGCAAAGTTCTATTTTGCTTTGCATATGTCCCTTAAACTTTTATAATGTATCAAAATTACATTTTCTAATATTATTTCAGACCAACCAGAATGTAAAATTCTACAATTTTACTGACGCGGCAACACTCACATCAAGATCTGGGGAATTCAAGGAATCATATGTGATTCTGAGCACGCAGCCAAACAAGATTACGACTGTTAGAATGCCAAGCAACTACCCCACTCTGAGGAATGGGTTCAGCATGGCTACGAGTGTTAACTTCACAGTGGATGGTACCATGCGTTTTGGAACAAACACAAAAGTAAGTATTATCCCAAATGAATATCATAAAATCTGCATACAAAATATCCATTACATATATCACCAACTGTCACATTGGTGAAACTCTGCAATTTTTAAAAAAGTATTACAAATATAGTATATACACCATTTAACTTACTTTGCTTGTTTCTTATATATCAATATTATTATTTACACATAACATCAATAACATTTTTAAAAATATAAACTCTTACCTTACCATAAGACATTCAATAACTGACAAAACCTATCACAACTTATTTCCTTGACAAATATTTATTGCAGGTTGAAAACAATTTTTTCCCTATCACTTAAATGAGCAAAAATATTAAACTCCATAGTATTCACTTAAATATGCACATATGTATTGATTGTGTTGTCTATTCTTAGTAACAGCTATAAAATATATCATTACATTTCAGATCCTGTCAACAACGCCATTTGACTTCGATGGAGAAGTTATTGAATCATATTACAACCCACCAATAATGACCATCACAGAAGCCCTAAGTGCTCCAGTAAACACACGTTTATCGATCATCGGGAAAGTTATCCAGGTTAGTGTTTAACCAACACATTATTTTTGATTATGTTACTACCAAAATCCCTATTCAAATCATATCTTATATATTTCAAGAACTACATCAACATTTACTTTAATGTTCAATCTTTCAATGTAAAGAATGTAATTAATTTAATACACATATACTATCTAAAATATTCCCTCTGCACAGTCCTATCCCAGATCTACTACTGGAGTTAGGAAAAAGAGTCATCCATTTGACACAGGACGAGGAACGGATCACAGTTAAACTGTGGGGAGAACAAAGCCTCCTTGATGTCCCCAATTTAGACAAGTAAAGTTCACCAACTTAAGGGTGAACATATACAATACAAATAAGGAACTGAATTCTACGTCGAACACAACAATGGAGGTAAATATTCTTAATACCATTCACTACATCTAATTAACAATATGCACCCAAGAATATTGACTCCATTCAATGTACACCATTTGCAGCAATATTTTAACCTCATGGCAAAATCTGTATATATATATATAAATTTAAATAAAAATTCCCATGATAAACAACACAAACAACAGCCTATGCAATCATGACATATCACCCAAGACAGCAACCCTGAACACTCAATTACACTAGTCTCTTATAACAAGCATACTTTGCTAAAGATTACCTATAACCTGCATTTATACATACAAACTAAAATAAACTACAAACATCACTATTACTAACAACGCATTATAAAATTATTGATGCATTGATATTTAATTATACAAATTCTTCAACAGATAATCCCACAAGAGGTATCCCATGTTCAAGGACAAATTGATGCAGCTGATTTCGAAGGGTAAGTAAATCATAAATAATCATGTATATGCATATTCAAAATTACAAACTCTTCGTCATCTTGACCATTACTCATGCTTTATTTATAAAGAAACAACTGTTTTCACTATTAATAACTAATAACAAACTGCATGAATTGATCATGTAAATATACCTTCAGACAACCTTGCTTACATTGACACCAAATAGCATATTATAACATCAACAGTCTACTTATAACATCAACAGTGTATACATTTAGCTATATCATGTCATATATTTCATGATAACATACAAGGTTTAAAACTAACATCCATCTATAAATAGCTCTCTTGTCCAAACAAAATGTAACTAAACCTCAATAAAATAAGTGTAAAAAATCATTTCAATGTTTTAAACATGTATAATTTATCATTAATGTGTACCAAATATTCCTCCCTTGAAATATAATGAAATGTCCCATTTTTAGGGGTAAAAAGTTAAAAACTTTCAATATTCAATGAATACTTTTTAAAATCTCCCATGCAGACACAAATATACATATATATATATATATATGTTTTCATAAATAAATACATCATACTCCTAATAAATGGGTTACATAAGTCAAATAGTAATATACAAGACCTGTCTTAGGTTACGAAAGTGACAGTTTCAAATTTTCAGAGTATATGTTTATCATCCATATTGAAACACAAATAAATATTTTATATATATTTTCATACACAACTCAAAATACTACTAATAAATAATCTAGAAAAATCCACATACTTTATGTTTAGTCCTATTTTTGGATAAAGAGTTAAAATAATACATTTTCAGATAATATTTCTTTACATTTTGCTTTGACATATAAATGTACTTAATATAAATATTTTCAAGGTAACACAAGGTACTAGTAATGCATAGGTTAAAACAGTCAAATAAATGTATATTAAATTCGATTAAGGTGTAAAAATTTAAAAAGTTGAATTTTTCAGAGGATTCTTTTATATATTTCATATTGAGAATGTACTTTTATGCCTTTTCAAAGAGGACAAAAGAACTAATGCATGAGTTGGAAAGGTCATATCATTTTAATAGAACCATAGAGGTTATAAAACCTTTACTTGAATGTTTTAAACTCTACATAATCATTTTCTAATAGTTTTCGAAACGTTTCTGTGTTAGCTGGGTAGACTTTAAACATGAGAGGATCAAATTAAAAACTAGACCTCTGTGCTATCTTCAGATGTTGAAATGCGTATTTATTGTTTTCTTTAACAATCACTTTTTTTATGTGCACTTAAATGCAAAAATTTAAGCGCAAACCTTATGACATGTGATTTTATCCATTTTAATTGTCATTATTTATTATTTTGTTGACTTCAATTGCATGTATTGCAACGTTTAATACCATGTTTTGAGCTTATTTTCAATTCAAAAATAATTTACATATACCATTTCCCACAATATTTGCCCCCAAAATGCCACTTAAAAGTCAACATCCAAGGAACATCTTCTCTATATTGTTTAAATAACCTGTTGTAAATGATATAAACACAAAACCATGTCAAACCATCAATTAACATATACATTATGATAATAACAACATCTTTCCATTACAGACACGAACATATGGTCTTATTTCAAAATGAAATGTACCACTGTGACATAGAAGTCCTAAACAAGGCTTTCCCTGACAACATACTAACCACTGAAGAGTTCCATATTACCATGGAGGATAAAATCATCATTTCAATGTAAGTACATGTATACATCCACATATTATTAAACTGTATTGTATACATCATAACAATTCATTTCAATGTACTAAATGTTTGGTATATGAGGTCTAATAGTGTTCATTACTTCTACTTACAATAATGCAATATTTTCATACATACTGTACTCACAGAAAAATCTCCATTACCATCATTTGTGTTGCTCTAAGTTTAACATGGTTCACTATACAGTTATACAGTTTCTATCGAAGACTCTGGAGATATAATATAAATTAATCATAGTCATATTTATACACACAAAATATTGCCAAATGTATATACCATATTAACCAGTATATATAACCGTTGATTACCATTTTCAATTAAATATAATTTATTATACCAAATTACATATTTACAAAACTACTCCAAACTAATTCATAATATATTATTTCCATCCAGGACCCCAGTTACTGAAGAACAGAAGACAGCAGCTACTAAAGAACTCCAAGTACAAAACCCTCAAGGTTTGTATTTAATAATTACAGTATATATATATATCTAAAACTTATATACATTATCTCTACATAACAAACATATACCATTTTAACACATTTCAAACACTTTAGTTTAAATCCTAAAATTTCACAATATCTTCTAACTTCTAGTCAGTAAAACCTAATTCACAATTTCATATATTCTTTTTCAGAAAACGAATCCAGCAGTGAATAATCACTCAATTCACCACATTGGTACAGTATGTGAACCAAACTTTGGTGTCAACCACCATTATATTGATGAAATATTGCTAAAAGCAATATAGACCCAACTTGCTCAATTATTTCCTCATTAAACCAGAAAATACAGAAAGATAATTTTCATATATTATAGAATGATATCTCCCATTGAAAATGCACACTGTTTATCCAACTTCATGTTGACAAAACAAAATGAAAAGGAAACATAAATACATTGCTTTCATTTATGATTATCATTTATAATATAACTATAATAAACAAAAATAACAATTTTTATGTTCATATTACAAAATTTCACACATTACTCTTATCACTAATTTTCGCTATGTCCATCAATAAATACCAATAACAACATTTAGGTCTGTTATAAATATGACCTTATTTCTTATTTATTACCACTTATGTGTGCGCATTTCAATGAAAGGTATCAACCATAAACAAAAATCTATATGCCACAATACTGAATTTGTCAAATCCATATCTCTAATCTCACCCTCCAACCAGTAATTGGCTTATAATACTTCTCTCTCTAATAATTTAACTAAATGTATATCTTTAAGTTTTAAAACCATTCAAAATTTCTGAGCTGACTTGACTCCAACTGCTATCTCTACTGGTAGAAGGTCCGATCGCAATCTCTACTAATAGAATTTTCAATTCTACCAGATTGCAATCTCTACCCTGACAAAAACAATGTATATAATCAAGTAGGATAGTATATTTCCATAATTGTCTGTATGTTTATTAAAACATTCCTATATACCTTTAAGCATCAATGACATTCAGCCATATTAAAATTAGTTTTACTTTTTGAAATAACAATGTTTTAACTTTTGACACATATGTATTTCTTTCTTGACATTCCTTTTAAACCATGGTTTATTTTGATTTTATTTTGACAGTGGTGTTGTACTTTATTTCCTTCTTGTAAAATATTATTATTATATTATAGCTATTATTATATTAAGTACATTCCGTCTCAAAAGGTTAAATAATATATTTACAGCCTGCACTCTGACCTCAACATAGTTTGTCTAAAGTAATATCCATTTCTATTGTTTCTCCTAACATTGTTTCATTTTAAAGTTCAAATACTTTAACTTTACTACCTTTGTGTATTTCTTAATATTATTAGTATCTCATATACATTCCATGTATAAAAGGTAAATAATATAATTACAGTTTGCATTCTCTTCTCAACATACTTTGTTTAATGTAATATGTCCTTTTTATTGTCTCTTTGAATATTATGTTCCATTTTAAAGTTCAAATACTTTAACTCTATATCCTTTTTGTCAATATTATTATTACCTTATAACTATTACTATCTCATGTACATACCTTGTATATACACAAATATTTCCTTCTAAAAATACAAATAATTATTATTATAATTTTCAAGGGTAATACGATCCCTTTGAACGCATTTTCAATCATAAGTTGATGAAAAATAATGACAATTATTATGGATATACAGCTTCTCTTATTCTGTGAACGCAAGGTTTCAACATAGGTTCTAATGTCATCATCAAGCCAATTGATACATGAGTAACAAATTAACAACAATATATGCATCAGTGTTGTTAAAGTAGATGAAATGAGTTGTTTATGCATCAAATGAGATTAATGTACAACATTTGTATTAGAAATTGAGTAAATTGATTCGAAGCCAGTAGGGTGACATACAAGGACTAAATTAGAGCTTATACAACTGATAAAACCAAGTGAAAATTTATACAATGAATAGGTGTTTATACAATGGATGGTATTGATGCCATAGTTAAATAAAACAGATATTGTACATAAAAAATATTATTAAGTACTGTTATCAAGTGATGGTAAACATTCAAAATATAATATCCTTCATCTTTGTTAGAGGGCAAGTCCTATCTCCTTGATGTGTTCTACTTCCAAAATATACAAATTTTGTAGTCTAACTGGTCCTCCACTATGCTTTTAGTTTTATCCCATTTAATGATGTGCTTAAAATGCATGGCTAATTAATCCTATGTATGAAACATTTATATTAAAGGAGGCTATTTCTTGTCAAAACAGTTTTTATTGAGTTGACGTTGTTGTTAATGGTTTATTGTTGGTCTGGTTCAATCCTTGTATGTCACCCTATTGACTTCCTATGAATTTACCTATTGTCTCATGCAAACCTTGGACATCAACTTCATCTATTGTACAAACAACTCATTCCCTATCTACTGTAACAACAACTTCTGTATATATTCTCTCAATTTGTTACACATGTATCACTTGCCTCAACAAAATAAAATAAATTGTATGTCCATAATAATTGTCATTATTCCTCAGTAATAACATGTTTTGCTAACAGTGTTAGCATCTACATTATTAGACATTATATCTTCAGTCTTAACGCATCAACATAAAAGTTAATAAAACATTGTCTTAAGAGGAAAAATAGCATGATTATCAGCACTTATTATTCCTAATCTGAAATGTAGTTGAATGAAGATTATATGTACACTGTATATGATATAGTAAAATTATTCATTTTTTACTTTATTTTAATTTTGGTTTTCTTAATAAAATTCAAATACTTTCCACGCTATTTCCTCCTTGTACAACTTATTATTAACTTATAACTCTTACTATTTCATGTATATTCCATATATAAAGGTTCAATTATCTATGTCTAATAATGATTTATTTCATTAATGTAGTAAAATAAATCTTTTATGTATTACAATAGTTTTATTGTTATTATTTATGAAATAATGGGAAAGTACTCACCGAACATCAATACTAAGTAACACTTGATATACATTTTGCTGAAATACTCCCATTACTTGCATTTCAGTGAAACAAAGCCTCTGTTCAAAAGTTATAATTTAAAAGTTAAACAAGACTTACCTATAAGTTCATGTTTAACTGAGATTCTATCAATTAATCTTAAGTAATGGAAAATCTAATAACACATAAAATATTAAAAGGAAGGCAGTGAGCTTAATTCTCGGAGGGCACGTAATCCCTCCATTACTTAAATAATATTCTATTTCCCTCACCACAGTTGCTAATTTTGATTGGTTCTCTACTGTGGGCTATGAAAATTGTCAGTGTATATGTATATGGTTTGTTGATCATTTTGTATTCTTAGTTACATGTTAATAGTATCACCGTTTCGTGGTTAGTGGCAGCCCTGAAAATCAAGTGACTTGATTCCACGTGTTATGTGTATTCCCAGTATATTTGCATGCTCTAGATTCACAAGTTCAATTGCGGTAGCATCAGACATACAGTGTAATGGATACTGACACGCACTATAACTGCAAAACGTGGTCCTCGTGCAAATATGGGAGACGATGTGAATTTGAACGACAGATGTAATTGACAATGACAAAAACTGGCAAATTTAAGTTGACACGTCAGCGGGTTAAAACACCAACTGGACGATACTCAAGTAGCAAATAATTTGTCTAAGCTTATCTTTGGCTTATTGGAGATGTGCAATAACGCTACGCAAAATTAAAATACAGTGCAGTACAGGTAAAAGTCATTGTAAAAGATGAACCTGTGGTCTAAGGGGATAACCCTGGTTTAGCTGAAGAAAAAGCAGTAGTAAATTTGTTCTGCACCACACACCCGCCGGCTTTGCAATGCCCAAAGAGTAATGAGCTTTCGGTAACATTTGGTTGTTCTGTAGTATGCATGAATTTTAAAACTTCATAGGTGACCTAGATCGAGGTGTTACGTGTATTTCCAGTATATACACCTGCTCTCGATTCACTATTCATTTGCAACAGTCAGAGTGTAACAGTGTAATGGATACTAATACAAACTACTGAAATGCCTTAATTGCTATGAAATCACAAGTTTATTTTCGTCAGCGTGAG